GCAGAGTTCATAGTAGAATTTTATGTAGGCCTACACATTTAGGAACAGATATTGGGTTCTGCCCAAAGTCAAGCAACGAATAACGTAAAAAGTTACTTTCCAAAGGGGGTAACTAAGTAAAGTAACGGATTACTTTTTTAAGAAGTAACGAGCAAACACTACTTTTTAAAAGTAACTTCCCCAACACTGCTTGTAAATGAGGCCCGATGTCCAAAATTCCGAACCACCCCTTTAACGAAGACCTGCTGGAAAATGTGCATGATTCCATAATTAAACCATTTTTATTAAAGCAACACTAAGTAAGATTTTTTACCTTAAAATAATGTTTCCAAAATCGTTTCAGTGGTTCATCAAGTCGTAACAGGGTGAAAGGCACTTATGCCTCCGCTTTGCGGTCCTATATCTGCTATAACCACGCTATGTAAGATTGCCAGATCGGGTCGAGTTTCTGTAGTTCTAATGAGACATAAGAAAACTACAAATTTGACTTGCTTTACGTCAAGCGTTACAATAGTCATTATTTTGTTTTTCTTCGTTTCTGATGTCGCAATACATCATACTTTCATGAAATCATGCAACATACTCTACCTTGTCTGTGGACATTGTTCATTCCAAAGCCGGTGTCGATTTTGCACAATTTCATTAACTTAGATATTATCTTCAAAAAGTATGCAAGTAATTTTAGTAAGGGAAAATTCACTAAAATGAATGAATAAATATGAAATAACTAAATATTTAAAGGATTGTTTTTTTCTTTACATGGAGTGGGCACACATTCAATCTTACCCCCGCTATTTTTGGACACTTTTGTGGAATAAATTAATCTTGGCTGTCTGTGAATAATGCATTTCTACCAGGGGTGTCCAACCCTGTTCCTGGAGGGCTACTGTCCTGTAGAGCAGTGTTTCCCAACCCTGCTCCTGGAGGCACACCAAGAGCAAATTCCAAACAGCATTTTTGTGCCCTTGAAGGGGACGCCATTTGTAGGGGTGTTCCAAACGAAAGTGAACAACTGGGTTCCTTCACGAAGGGCCCTTCCACATGGCTGTTACCGAAGGGAACATGCGATGGTCACTTCAAGGATGTAATGTTATCATTTATGGTCATGTGACCCAGTAAATACTCGCGATTCATTTTAAAGCTAGATGGCGGGAGAGTTCGAGTTAACTTGCATACAGAGCAATTCAAGTTGTTTTGTTTGTGATATATTTTGCACATTTTTGTCATGTTATGTTTAAATAATTTTCATAGGTAAGAAATGTGTTCAGTAATGCTGGGTCCAAAGATGAGAAGACAAGTTTTAAAGTTGAGAGCAGCGAAATACACTCACAAACAGATATATAACGCATATTTTAAAAACTTTTTTGTATAAAATTTATATTTATTTCCAACAGTTATGTTAACAGCAATAATAAGACATTTCTGTCGTAAGAACAGCTATTCAGCTGATGGACACCTTGCTGCGTTGTAATGGATGGGGACATCCCAGATGAAAATAATGAGGAAATTACATTGTCTTTGGTTGCTCCCATCGCCAAGTGCGTTCCAAACAGTTGCATAATGGCACACAAGTGCCCTGCTCACTCCAAAGTCCCCACTTCAAGGGTTCTGTCCTTCAAAGGGAGTAGGGCATAGGGAATTTGCCTAAACACTACACTTTTTCCAACTCTGCTTAATCAATCACACTAGATTCAGCTCGTTAGTAGAGACTCCAAGACCAGAAATATATGGGTCAGATAAGGGAGACATCCAAAATGTGCACTGTTGGTGCGCCTCCAGGAGCAGGGTTGGGAAACACTGCTGAGTTTAGCTCCAAACCTAATTAAACACACCTGACATTGGCCCTCCAGGAGCACGATTGGACACCCCTGCAACCCGACACCTTTACGTGATTCTACATCCACACCACTAGGTGTCAGTATACATATGTACAAGACGATTGCTTCGTCGGTCAGCTCAGTTCACCTCTAAAAAAAAAAAAAAAAACTGTAAAATGCCATTTTAGTCTGAGTAAAATTGACTAAAATGAATGAATATGACATGACAAAACATTGACCAAATTTAAAGTTTTTACACAGCGGGTCTCATCATGGGGGCTGCCATTTTGAAATGATAGGACCAGCCGAATACTGCACACTTATCTTGATCAAAATGAAAATTAACACCACCTGTATCAAAAATACAGAGGGATACATAATCAGTTATTGTGCACATTCTGAATTCTGTACGTTTTTTAACATTGTCGTTTTCTCTCTAGCATGCTCCCCCTGCTTGTGAAGGACGGTTTGCTGTTGCCTTATGCGGTGACCTCATCTGCGTTCCTCTTTCTGAGTTTGTATCTGCTCTCTGCTTTAGAGAGAACTACAGATGAAGAGCTCAGGCTGGGCCTCAATCACAAACTCACTCAGCACTGTCTGCCTAAACTCAACCTCATCATTAAATGGAAAGTAAGTTAACGCTGACGTCACGGCCCGTTACCCCACTGACGTTAATGAATTCGACGCTTATGAAGAAGTCAGTTAAGCGCACTAGGCCACTTGAACGGGCCATAACTTTCACATTAGCTTGACCCCATGCTCTTCTTAGTGCCTTTGAAGACTGAACGTTTCAACAGCTCCTTGCGTGAATGTTCGAGATCAGAAGGTGTGCTATTTGTGTAGCGTGAGTCATTAACACAGGTTTGCCTAGATATATTTATTTACACAAGAGACATAAATAAGGGGGCCCTACGATGGAGGTAGAGTTTCATTGGGGGGTCGTGTTGCTCACACCAGCACTTCCACTGATCCTTCACTCCATCTGTCGTAAATAGACATGTTAATGTTTATACCTCGCCGTCCCAAAACAGGGTGGAAAATAAACATCAAGTTACAAGGATCTGTGTACTGCCGTTGTTGTAGAACTTGACTAGGACTAATTAATGTTTGTCATGATATTTCCTCTCATAGGAAAGGAAATACTGTGTAAGTGTTGTTCACTTTGTCTTTTACAGTTCTGGTTTTCACTGGTGGCCATGGCTGCATTGAGCTTTACGAGCGTGTGGTTGGAGCCTCCGGCAAAGTTGCCCGATCTGTTTCCGGTTCTGGTCTCCGTCCTCTCCTTTCTGCACTTTCTGGGCTTCATCATATATTTCAACCTAGTCCAGTTGATAGAGCCACCGAGGAAAAAGAGCCAGAAGAAAACAAACTGAAACATGTCTTCAAAGACATTAGTTGTCAAAAGAAGAAATACAGCCAGGATGTTGGTGAAAAGAGAGGACAATCCCTGTGGTTAGAATAGAACAGGATGGGAATAGTTTGTAAAAATTCAATTTCCTTCTAATGAAGTTTGGGGGTATTGCTTGGGAAGAGTGAATCAAATGAAAGGAGATACAGTTCTGCCAGACTTTCTCTCACTTGTATAATTTAGAGACAAATTCAGTCAGCGGGATATTGGTATTGTGTAAATGACCTGGCCATAAGAGATCGCTTGTGCTGACATTATTTTTATTAACATTTTTGATACATCATTAAATGTTTTTGTACCAAATGAAATTGTCTCCAGGATTTTCAAATGACCTAACAATTTTTTTATTTATTTTTAGAGCTGCAGGTTTGTTGTCCTTGTTTGTGGGGCTACACAATTTGTCCAACATATTTGTGATTATATAGCAATTTAACAAAAAATATAAATAAATATTTTTTAATTTATTTAAAATAATAAAAATATAACTTTCACTAAAATAAAGAGTATTTAAGAAAAATAATAATTTATTATTGTTATACAATACTAATTTAAAATTACAATATTTATGAATTAGCGCATACATTTAATCAAATCGCAGCCTTTCCGATTTTATAAATCACACTAAAGTCATATTGCGATTTCTGATTTATTTGAACAAACATGACAGGAAAAAAAGTTTATGTATCTTTGTTTCAATGAGTAATGTGATTACAAATAAAATAATGATTATTATAATAATAATTAAATAAAAAATATTAAAATAAGAAATACTATATATCACTAAAATAAAAAAGTATTTAAATGAATATTTAATATTAATAGTAATTTTATAGAAAAGTACAATACTAATATTGAAGAAACAACCCCTTATATATTTTTCATTAAATCACAGCTTCTGATTAGATAATCACACTAAGCCATTTCATATTAAAAAATCATTTATTCTGATTAATCATGCAGCCCTAAACAATTCTCATCAAATAAACAAACTTAAGAAAAAAAAGTATGAATTTAATTGACTTTTCCAAGTAGTAAATGAAGAGAAATATTCATTAACACAGTGGAATCATCTTGGCCGTGACTAAAGACGTGAGGCTAGTACTAAAGCTACGCATTAAAATGCTTCAACTTCATGAGCTGTAAAACAAAAATGATGGAAGCAGACATATCAGAACATAATGCTGTAAAGCTGAAATACCAAGGGGAAAAAAGTACAAGCAATCTTTCTCACCCCTCTTTGTTCGAGTTAATGACGGCCATTAAAAAAATCCATTACAACTATAAATGTTATCAGGTCACAAAGGGGCTAGTGTGTTACAGCCTGAGCGAGTTCTGGAGCCGCCACATAGGATCAGGAAAGAATGAATCGGTTTTTGTTTGACTGTCTTACACAATATCCTGTAAAACAAACAGCAAGCCACAATAAGCAGGATGCGTGATACAATTTTAATGGATGGTGCTAATATTAAATAACCATATCTTGCATGCCGTGCTTGGTTAAAGATATTGAACTCAGTGAGTTTAACAGCCCACGGCAAACAGACCAAATTGCTGAATTCTGAGATGCTGTTCTTGTTCATCTCAACAGACCGTAGCAATGCAAAGTGTGTGACAAGTGTGTGTTTTGTTAGGTCAGCCTAAGCTTTTGTCCTTCAGACAGCCTCTAGAAGTGATAAAGAGAGAGTTACGTGATCCACCTTGAGCGGGGCACCAGCTGCCGCCCATGTCCTACATCGAGAAATTATCCCTCAGCGGCTGCCAAAATAAAGAGACAGATCAACAATGAATACTCTTACCTCCAGTATATCTGTGCGTGTGTAGTTTTCTACACATTTGTTGCTTTCTCAAATATGTGTATGCATACATTTCTCTCTGCATCAGCCCTAATGGGACTGTATGCCAGCGGTAAGAACACTATTTTCGCAGAGACGCAGCACACCGTGTATTGTAGAATCAACATTTTGTCAGATTCCTGGTGAAGGGGGGGGGACCTTTCAGAGAATGAATTGAATGTAAATGTGTCTGAGATGGGATGGCAAGATGTCGGTGGCGCTGTCTCATTTTGACTACGCCGGAAAGACTGACAGCCTCCTCAGACGTCTCGACGCTTTCAGACTGACAGGACGTTCGGTGTACATCAAACACGCTGACAGAGAGCTGCAGCTCTGCCAAAATAAGAACCGTTCCATTTGCAACTGCTCACAGCATTACATGAAACAAAAGCATATTGCGTGTAAAAGTCTTTGTAAATCTCTGGCATATTACATTAATATTTAAGCCTGAGATTAAATGGATTGATAGAATTACACTACCGGTCAAAAGTTGTATGATAGATTTTTTTTTTTTTTTGGTTTTGAAAGAAGTCTCTTATGCTCACTGAGGGTGCATTTATTTGATCGAAAATACTGTAAAAACAGTAATAATAAGAAATATTACTGTTTTCTATTTTAATATATTTGACATTTCAGTAGCCTTTACAATCATTATAATATGCTGATTTGGTGCTCAAGAAACATTAATTTTGATGATTAGAAATGTTTCAAAGAACATCATTTATTTGATATAGATAAACATGTTGAATTCATTGTAAATTAAAGGTGAAAAATATAACAAAAATAGAAGAATAAATGTATTGTTAGTGCAGTCAAATCGATTAATCGCATCTAACATAAAAGTTTGTAAATGTGTGTATACATACACTCACCGGCCACTTTATTAGGTACCCCATGCTAGTAACGGGTTGGACCCCCTTTTGCCTTCAGAACTGCCTCAATTCTTCGTGGCATAGATTCAACAAGGTGCTGGAAGCATTCCTCAGGGAGTTTGGTCCATATTGACATGATGGCATCACACAGTTGCCGCAGATTTGTCGGCTGCACATCCATGATGCGAATCTCCCGTTCCACCACATCCCAAAGATGCTCTATTGGGTTGAGATCTGGTGACTGTGGAGGCCATTTTAGTACAGTGAACTCATTGTCATGTTCAAGAAACCAATTTGAAATGATTAGAGCTTTGTGACATGGTGGAAGTAGCCATCAGAGGTAGGGGTGGGAATCTCTAGGCACCTCACGATTCGATTCGATTACGATTCAGAGGGCTGCGATTCGATGCTAAATCGATTATCAGAATCTTTTTTTTGTGTGTGTGTGACTATAAATACTTTGCTTTAAAAGTACAAAGTAATGACCCATAAAGAATTAACGTACAATATATTTTATTAACATTGCAAAGAACCAACAGGAAAATACATGTGTGTCTGAACTAGCAGCAGCATATTTGTAGTAAATTAATAATATAACAACGACCGGTAACGTTACAGCCGAGTGTTTTTCCTCCTCTGGCTGGAAACGTGTCATTTGGCTTCATGTGTCTTGTTTCCGAAATATTTTAGTTTTACTCTACAAAGCTTACAACTAGTGTGGCTCTTGTCCAGCTCCTTTCCCCCTTCAACTTCAGAAGCCAAAATATTTCCACACGTCAGCTTTTAACGAGGAGGGTGTTTGGATTTGGCGCTCAGCCATCGCGTCCGCGTCTGTTATGTGCACGCCACAGACGGTCCGGCCACTGCACTTCCGCGCTTCAGAGTTCCGTCTTTCGCGTTCCGTCAATATTACGTTATTATAAATATATATCTAAAAATTTTTTTTTTTTTTTGAAAATCGATTTTTGACAATTGTGAATCGATTCAGAATCGTCCACGTCCGCATCGCGATGCATCTAAGAATCGATTTTTTCCCCCACCCCTAATCAGAGGATGGGTACATGGTGGCCATAAAGGGATGGACATGGTCAGAAACAATGCTCAGGTAGGCCGTGGCATTTAAACGATGCCCAATTGGCACTAAGGGGCCTAAAGTGTGCCAGGAAAACATCCCCCACACCATTACACCACCACCACCAGCCTGCACAGTGGTAACAAGGCATGATGGTTCCATGTTCTCATTCTGTTTACGCCAAATTCTGACTCTAACATCTGAATGTCTCAACAGAAATCGAGACTCATCAGACCAGGCAACATTTTTCCAGTCTTCAACTGTTCAATTTTGGTGAGCTCTTGCAAATTGTAGCCTCTTTTTCCTATTTGTAGTGGAGATGAGTGGTACCCGGTGGAGTCTTCTGCTGTTGTAGCCCATCCGCCTCAAGGTTGTGCGTGTTGTGGCTTCACAAATGCTTTGCTGCATACCTCGGTTGTAACGAGTGGTTATTTCAGTCACTGTTGCCCTTCTATCAGCTCGAACCAGTCTGGCCATTCTCCTCTGACCTCTGGCATTAACAAGGCATTTCCGCCCACAGAACTGCCGCTCACTGGATGTTTTTTCTTTTTCGGACCATTCTCTGTAAACCCTAGAGATGGTTGTGCGTGAAAATCCCAGTAGATTAGCAGTTTCTGAAATACTCAGACCAGCCCTTCTGGCACCAACAATCATGCCACGTTCAAAGTCACTCAAATCAACTTTCTTCCCCATACTGATGCTCGGTTTGAACTGCAGGAGATTGTCTTGACCATGTCTACATGCCTAAATGCACTGAGTTGCCGCCATGTGATTGGCTGCTTAGAAATTAAGTGTTAACGAGCAGTTGGACAGGTGTACCTAATAAAGTGGCCGGTGAGTGTATATTATAATATAATATAATATATATATGTATGTGTGTACTTTTATGTAACTGACAGCACTATTTTTTATCAATAAAGAAACATACAACACTTACCGGTAAATGCATTAAATTATCCTATTTAGTAGTTTTGTAAAATTACTCTAAAATGATCAAATTTGTAAAAAAAAATCTATAATAATTTGTTTACGTTTAAGCATTATTCAAGTAGAAATAACTCTCTTGTCCTATGATATCACATGAAGAAGATTCGAGAGATGTCACAAAATCTCAGCCGGTTGCAAGCATGTTGCTATGCGTTTGCTAATGTGTTCTGAGTGATTGTGAGCATGTTGCTAGGGGGCTCTGTGTGGTTGCTAGGTTAGGCCAAGTCAAAACAGCCCACCCTACTCTATAAAAACACCACTAATTACTGTAAAATTGTAGGATTGCTTGGAAGCTGTGTAATGTGACAAGCTTTAAAAGTTTCAGTGAGTACAATGATAACCCAGGTAAGGTTGGTAGAAAAAAAAAGAAAACATACCTTAAGATTGCCTTAAGAAATTCAAAAGAGCTGCCAGTCTGTTTCAACCCTGTAAAAGACACATGGATAGATTAACACACACTTTATCTAGTTTAAGAGCGTGAGAGTGAATTCATGAATGAGACATGTGCACATGTAACTTATCAGGTAAATCATAGCATCAGTCATAGGTTTTGTAGACTGCTGCCGCTGTCACTGCTAGATGATCTAAATGCAAATGATCTGAAATGCCTCTGAATGCATTTCACACTGCTTCAGGACGTGTGTGGACATATTAGAGACCAAAACACATGCTGAGAGTTGCTTAACTTCACCCTCCCCACCCAAAGTCCTCTAATATACAGCAGTCCTTTAATTGTGATGGAGTTTTCCATCAAAAAGGCTCAAATGTTCCCCAAACAGACGCCATTTATCCTTCAGCAGCCCAGGATTGATGTGGTATTAGCAGGGTCTGTGACCCCGTCCCAGCCAAGAACCAAAAACCTATTTGTTTTATTACATTTTAAGGAATTTTTAATACAGTCTATTAAGGCTGTCTTACAAATCTCCCACAGCTCGACCCCATCTGCGGCCTGATCAATTTTTATACTGCTGATCCGTCCCCTTCCTTCTCGTTTTGTCATCGCAAAATTCATATTATATAGGATTTTCTTATGGAAAACTTGCCATAAAAATCCGTTACTACATCTGCTGATGTGTACGGGAGGCCGCCGCGTGAAGACGGAGAGGGCTTTGGTGAAGATAAAATTTGTTTCAGCGGTAAGCAGAACTGTTTAAATGTTATTTATTTTCATGCTCCAAAGAAAATATATTGTGAAGTGCAACATTGATTTAGAACATAACAATGTCTCCGTATAGGCGTAGAAGAGGTGGAGGCAGGGGCCGATTTATGAATCCTTTGCTCAGCTCCTTTAATTGAATTTTCCAAATCTCTCGCCACACAGAAATAATCAATACCCTCGGTCCAGGCGACAAACTTGCCTCAGAATTATTGCGCTCTCTCTTTTTCCATTTTGCGCTCATCAGCAACATGTAACGTGAACGCTCGGGACTTGGTAATACCTGAATAAGCCAGAAAATTTATAGTCGGTCTGATTGTTTAGGAGGGGTTGCCTCTCTAGAATGCTTGGGAAAAACTTTTGTCAGTTTTGCCATAAACATCTTGCTGGTTGAGTTGCCCTTTCGCCCAAGGTTATGTTTTGGGAAGCCATTAGATGATTGCCGGGGGTTGGAAGGGGCTTCCGTTAGGGACATGGATTCAGCCGTTTGCCTGTCAAAGTTAAAATATCCTTGTGGATTTTCTCAGCTGTCTTGGCGGTATCATGCTGCCTGGTGCTCAGCTTGCTTTTACACGAGTAGTGTCATATCCTCGCCCTCATATGTCATCCGCACCAGCTCCTGTATGGCTCAAGTGACACTGGGTGTTTGAGAACTCTAATAGCAATGATGTGTCTCTATGAAATCCAGGGCCAGGATCTAATGGTGTCCCAAGAGAGTTTCAACATCTTCAACTACTTACAGCATTGCAGTATAATGCATTTATTTACTGTGATTATCACTTGTCTTTAAGTATCATTTATTTAAAGCTTAATAATGTTGCTGCCAAAAATAGTTCTTCTGGGCTAGATATAAATATTCAAACACTATTTAGGGAACTTCAATGAGGTCATTTCAAACTTATACAAATCCTACTAAAATGCAATGAGAACGAAACGCATTATTTGTACAGGACAATGTAGACATACTCGGATGTTCAGTTTGATAACTGAAACTGCATCCTGAAACAGTCCATATTTATCTGTGTTTCAGTGAAAATATTTGTTTTCATGGACATTTCATGGACAGTAATTTGAGTTTACAATTCCAACACAGAAAAAGGCCTTTCATAACACAAATGACAGAAAAAATCTTTGCCAAATTAAAATGTTTACAATAATATATCTATTTGAATATATTTAAAAATGTAATTTATTCCTGATGCAATGTTGAATTTTCAACAGCCATTAGTCTTCAGTGTCAGATGATCCTTCAGAAATCATTCTAATATGCTGATTTAGTGATTTATTATCAATTTTGAAAACATTTGTGCTGCTTAATAGTCAAAACAACAGCATTTATTTGAAAGAGGAATCTCTTTTTCAAAATATAAATGTCTTTAATGTCACATTTGATCAGTTTAATGCATACTTGCTGAATTAAAGTACTAATTTAAAAAGAATTTACTGACCCCAAACTTTTGGTAAATAATATAATATAATATAATATTGGTTCATTGTGTCCTAATTTCACATTATGACACACAATCAAACATTACACTCCTAAGTGGCCTTAAATCATTTGTGTATTGTCAGTGTATGTCTAGGGACGTAAATGTGAAAACACTCTTGTACTGTTGTTGTTGTTTTCTACATTGATAAATTTCATGCTCCACCATGTGATCAAGATTGTGACATTCCTTTGGTGTCGAGCTACAAGCAACATATACGCAAAGGTCCTCGAGTGTGACTAATTAAAACAATTTCAGCCGACCTTATCTTAAAAACATGCTGAACTTCATCACAATCCAGCCATTGTGTTGCATCAAATCACTATTGTGCGATTGAATCACAAGTGCAGCTTTGCTGGGGGCTGAATGTGTGCTTGAAATAATCTAATTAATTCTGTCCCATGAAGAGGAGTTCTGGCTTGTTTGTGTTAGGAAAATGAAATATTTTTCTTAGAAAAAGAGAACCTTTTATCTGTGCAGAGATCGGGCAAAATAATGTCAATGAGCACGACGCATTGAAAAACCAAATCCCGTAAATGGCTATTCAAAGGTCCCATGTGACCAAGATCCAGAACTTCAGTGCTTGAAATCAATCATGACTCACATATAAGTGGAACACAAAATGTTTTCTTTCTCTTGCTCTTTCAGACAAAATCACAATCATCATACAGTAATATGAATCAATTCAATACGGGACGTAACTTATCCTTGTGTCAGAGTCTAACAAAGAGTGTGTTGTGGTGGGGAAACATTCAAGATTTGAAACATAACTAATTGTGTGCTGGCTGCTATCTGATCTGACAGAATTACTAGGTTTGGATATCCACTTAAGATAAGTGTTATCGTTCATGGTTCTCAATGATAAATCAACTTTTGAATTCAATTCTAAACATTCAGTTGATTCCCAAATTCACTCACCTTGGAAATGAGCCTTGTTTGTGTCTGCTCTATGTGCGCAAGATGCAACTTTAGCAGCTGAAAAAAAGTATTAAAAATCGGTTTTATGTTTCACACGCAGCAAGAATTTGTCATGTGAACTCTTAAAAGCAAATAAAGTGTTTAAACAATGTATATAAAGTGACCTTGAGACGCGAGGCATTTGCATTATGCAGTTTATGCATATACAGCAGAAAAGTCAAAGAAAGGACTCACACAGATTTTCATGTCTCTTGAGTTCAGTTTGTAGATCAGCAGGACTCATCAGAAAGAGACTCCTCAGCTCACTACTGCCCTCTACTGGCTACAGACAAACACATTTGTGTTTAAAAGATGGTGTGCAACCTCAATAAGATGCATTAAATGTAGCTAGCTACACATATCAAAATAAGCTTAATCTAGTACCACAGTTAAGTAACTCTAGTAACTCAGTAGTACCACATATTCATGATTGAGGGACCAAACGCAATCATTTAGATAAAAACCATAAAAATGCACATCAGTTGACCACTCATTTAAATATTGGCAGGTATGAAGCTCCTCAATGTTTATGGTGGTTCAGACTTCAGACCCTGATTTAATCTTAGTTTAGAAGTCTAATTGGCCAGTCAATAAACAATCCTTCAGTAAATAGTTACACATGATACACTGTGGTCTTCTACTAGTCGATCCACGTACCAATAATGTTTCCAGCTGTTGCCTGCATTTCCTGAGATCCTTGAGAGACTTTTTCACCTTAGACCTGAGGAACAGAAGTCTGAGGGGGGAAAGGTATATATAAAAAAAAAAAAACTATTAAAAAAATAGACAACAATTTAGTAACATTTTACAATAAGGTTCAATGTGTTAACATTAGTTAGATACAATAGTTGATACTAACAATAAAAAACACTAATTTAAAAGAATCTATTATTTCTCAGTTAATGCTAATTTCAACATTTACTAATACATTATTAAAATCAAAAGTTGTATATTATTTAATGGACCTGAGCTAACTAATGTTAACAAAGATTAAGGAATACTTTAACAAATGTATTGCTCATTGTTAGTTAACGCCAGTTAATGTATTAACTAACATTAACTAATGAGACCTTATTGTAAAGTGTTACCACCATTAATTTTTAATACGATATTTATTAATCTGATTTTTTTTATTTTTTTATTCTTGAATTGCTAGGCATGTGCTAGCTAGAATTTAAAATTAAATATATTGCATTACATTATTAGATTCTTGCTGAATATTTGCTTGATAAGGACATAGGATCATATTCATATTCCTTACTAAATCTTTGCGGGGAGGACAAGCTGACTAAGAATAAGATATTCATTTATTTTTAATACACATTTAAACATATTGGGGGACATATTAAAGAGTCTGCAAAATCTTTTACAAGGTCCTTCGTCCAATCACGCTCGAGATCTCTTCTACATTTTGCACAAGAAGTTCTCTTAGCTTTGACTCGCCAAATGAATACATTCTTAAATGAATCATAAGCCCGCTCTCTTTATTGATGTTTTTATATATATTTAACTAGCTTCCTCTTAAATGACTGCACTATAAAATTCAAAACTAATGCTTGTCTTGATGGATCACACGGAGCTCTGTGTTAGTATGCGTTGGAGAGGAAATAGGTCTTTTCTTAAACTCTCCTTATCCAACTATTTTTAGTGCTATGTAAATCAACGAGGCTTTTCGCTGGTGATGAAACTCCCTCCATGTCCTGTCATTAAATTCTGATCAGTCATAATGGCTATCAGCCAACTGGGACAAAGGAAATATCCAGTAATGAGGAGAAATTTCCACTGCTTCAGTTATACCAATGTTAGTAGCTTCATAAAAATAGACTTTGATGGCACTCTGGTTTTTGTAAAATATAACCAAGTAAAAAGTTGAATAAAGTAACTCAACAACAGCATTCTAACTTTCAAAAATTAAAGCATGGGCCATTAATTAAACATAATAAAGTGTGTTTTTATTTTTACATTTTCTTTAAAAAAAAATCTTAAACAGTATTACTAAAATGACAGAAATCATCAACATTTCTTTATCCTTACCTCTCAGCATCTGTCATGGGCTCTTTTGTTTGAGAGGGATTCATTTTCTTCCCACCTGCTCTGGAATTACCTGCTGATGAAGCACTAAATGTCAGCCAATTTATCAAATCGGCATGAGCAAAGATATTATTAATGGCTACACAGACAGCTAATCTAAATGCATTATCACTGGATTACAAGAGACCCCTACTGTACAAGATTTTGGAAACAACATGACATGAGCAGGGGATCGTTTATGGTGATGATTATCAAAAGCGAAAAGAACACACATACGTCTTACTCTCTTGACAATAAAAAATAAAAATGAAAACTCCTGGGGGGCAAAATGTGATTTTTTAGGACTAAGAGGACACAGTAGCTGGACTGTGGTTTCTAGTACCTGCAGGTTTTGTTAATCGAGTTCCAGTCATAGGCGAATAGTTCCTGTTTGGTGCATGCCTCTTAGCGGGGCTCTAAAATAGATGAAAATTAAGCATTTACATCCTTCAAAACGTCTGTGTATAGATTTGTTGTTGTACTTTAAAGAAGCAAAAAATCGTATTCCTTTACTTTCATAACATATGATTAAGTCAAACAATGGGTTAAAATAATAAACATTTAAAGAATATGAAAAGGCCGTTTTTGATCTGAAATCTGTAGTAGAGAAGTATGCAAACTCACGTTTTCTTTGTCTTGTAAATGAAGGCCTCTCTTCACACTGTAACGTTATGGGAAATTAGACAGCAGACTTTAGTCTTGATTTTTTGTTCTTGCATTTTCAACGTAATGCCTTAGCAGTTTAGTTTAGGGTTTGGTCATTTATGTGGATGATCCCTATACAAGAATATATCATATGTGCATGTATACCAGTTTTTCCTGCACATTGCTCTTTACTGAACTACAGGTATTTTGAATGAATCATGATTTATCCTAAAATACTGTACAAAAAAAAAAACATCAAAACTCAAATCTATTAAAAATGCAATTAAGTCTGATACATTCAACGTTAACCACATGATTGGTTCCAAAAAGTATCATGGTACTACCATTGTTTCTTGGACTGGTAAAATGTTAGCTATATAGTAGTCTTAAAAGTATTGGTAATCGTTAGTATTTTGGCAAGCATCCATGATAGCAAAGTTACCATCTTATGTTAGCATGATCACAATTATATGCCACTTAAGTTGTTATATGTGAGCCAAATGAATGTATACACTTACGGCATTTTAAATAGTTACTTCTTGAAGTCGATATCTCTTTCTTGAAGTTATAAGACAGACTGGCGCTTTTATTTGTAGTTTGGCGCGGTGCGGCAGCAATTTAGTTCCCCGGAAACACTCATTTGTGCTTCTATAGTGTCTAACTCTATTTTACCCGACAATTCACACATAATGAGTTATAATATTGTTAGAGTAACGATGGGTTTACCTGCTAAGTTTATATCACAAATACTGCACAGCATATCTAATTAATAAATATTGTATGAGAAGCATTGAAAGCATGTGTTTCCTTTATCTCTTTTAAAGTGCGCACCGTTGAAGAGGTTTTTGTTTACACACAGCAGCCATGGCAATCAGACTCGATAGTGAACAACATCACCAACCATAAAATAGCCTACAGACTCACCTCTCTTGCTCACAGCTATTATTACAATATGCTTTGATATTTCGGTTGCATGTTGGCAATATTTTCATAATGCAGCGCTCAGAGGAAGAGAGGTTTTATATGGCGTGCAGGGCTGCTTATCTCTCTGTGTTCAGGTCCAGCCTGGTTAATATGACTTCAAAAGATCAGCTGTGCACCGGTGAGCATAATGCATCTCAACACCTTTATTCTGCACGTTGATCTTTAATACAAAGGGTAAATATTATTGATAAGACCAATAAATCGGTAAAACTTTATAATTCATTCCTAATTCATTACTTCATTTATAATTCAAGAACAAACATTCTATAATGTTGTAGATAATGTAAATTCAAATCATATATAATATAATATGTAATGCAAACACCAATACACTTGTCAACATTTAAATATTTTTTAAAATATAAATATTTTATAATGACTTTCTAGTGATATCTAATGTCAGTACAAAATATTAGTTAGGTTAGGTTAACCATCTCTGCTGTTTTGTCTCAGTTCTTCAGCAAGCAGGTAGAAATCCATCACAGAAAGCTTTAGACAAATATTGGCCCCCAGGAACCAAGAAGCTGAATTTTGATGACTTTTTTGAGATCCTTAAGAAGGAAAAACCAGCAGAACCAGACGAGCTAATGAGAATTTTCAAGAAATTTGATGTAAATTGTGATGGATATATCTCACACGATGAGCTCAGCAGAATCCTTACTTCGGTAAGTGTTAAATCAATTCTCTCTTCACAAACATAAGCTGTGTCCCAATTCAGAGATGGCTGCATCCTTCCAAGGATGAATTGGGACACAGCTTTGTTGTGTGTCTATTGTAATCATTTCAGGTTTGTATTTTGATTTGTTTGTTTTAGTCTGGTGAAAAAATGTCACCCGAGGAAGTGGATGAAATCTTTTCCTTAGCAGATGTCAACAAAGATGGAAAGTTAGACTACGCAGAGGTACGATCTCCAAGCATTGCACAGCAGTACACTTTTTGTAAATAGACTAATTATAGTATAGTTGAGTTGAATTAGCCAGGCTGATCCCACTTTATATTAAATATCTTTAACTACTATGTTCTAACATTTGAATTAAACATTTGATACAATGCACTTGTTGTGCACATACTTTTTAACCTTGTAGCTACTTATATTTAAAGAATATATATCTGCATGTAATTCATATCTGTAACCCTACTCGGTAACACTTTATTTTAGTGTTATTATTACTGTTACATGTAGGCTAGTTACTGTAGTAATAATAACTAAAAAATTATGCATAATTACATATGCAATTAACCCTAAACCAAACTCTCATCCTAACCCATACCCTATAATAAGTACATTTACTTAATTATTATTACTAGTCTGTACTTAAATGTATAATTACACTGTAAAACTAAGACCTTAATATAAACTGTAACCCCCTACTCCTACCGACCGTTAATATAAACTGTAACCCCCTACTCCTACCGACCGTTAATATAAAGTGTAACCCCCTACTCCTACCGACCGTTAAACCTACCCAAACCACCAAACCTGTCCCCTAAACTTACCCAATAAGCACAATGTACCTAACAGTGATTTCTAATGTAAGCACATAGTAGTTAAAGACACCTACTGTAAAGTGTGACTGTCAGGCTGCTGTTTAGTTTTGCAGGCTTCTCGGGTCTACAGCAGAACAGTGTCAGACCGCGGCACTGGAGAAGCTTGAGGCTGATGCCAAACTGAAGAGGCAGAACTTTGGCAACCAGTTGGAAAACCCTCCACAGAGCTCAGAGTCCCAACCTGAGCTTTCAGCTGCACAGACACAGTCCAGAACAGAGCTGGAAACAACAAAGAGGAAAGGTATGATACAGGGTCTGCACAAAAAATAAAAATACACTAACCCCTGGTTTCACAGACAGGGTTTAGATTAAGCCAGGATTAGGCCTTAGCTCAATTAGGACATTTTAGTAGCTTTTCTAAATATGCCTTTGACAAAAACATGACTGGTGTTCATCTTTAGACAAAATAATGGCACTGATATAGTTTAAGATATGTCAGTGCAAGTGGCTTTCAGTTAAAACAGCTCAAACATACATTTTAGTCTGGGACTATCTTAAGCCTTGTCTGTGAAACCAGGCGTTTGTATATTGAGAATGAGCGTGTTCAGGTTAGGTTTGTTCAGTTCTTATTTACTGGCCAGATTGCACATGTGCATGCACACAAAAGCAAACAACAATTCTGTTTTCATTCTTCTCAGTGCAGTCTATTGTATAGTAACTAATGGTCTAGCTATTGATTTCCCCTCATGTGTGATGAGAAATGGACTCATTTGGATTCGTGCCATACATCATAATGTGAACTCAATAGAGGGTTTGTGTGGGGGAGGAACTTTTAAAGCCTTTTGATTAAGGCAATAATTTGTCATTATTATGAGTAAGTGCAGGACTAGTCAAGATTTAGCTGAGGATTTGCTTTTGCTTTGTGGTGTTCAACTTTAAAGTCACCATGAAATCTAAATGGACAATTCTTGTTTTTATGATAGAATATTGCAGTTTATTATAAATTATTTATCTGTGCCCTTATTATTATATAATTCATGTGCCCTTTTAATCTTTAGTCAAAATAACTTCCCCTCCCTCTCTCAGTGACATCTCTTCTCCGATGATGTGTTTTTCGGGGGCGGGACAACCTGTCAATCACATGACATCACAACAATAGAAAACCTCAATCATCCAATCAATTTACATTACGCCCTACATGTTCTTCTTATTTGAGGAGCCGTTTCAATTGGATACATCACAATAAGGATGAAAAGACTATCGCAACTTCCGTTTCATGTCGACTTTAATGTGATTCAAATCATTGTTTTGAAATGCGCAATTATTTCTTTATTATCTGCATTGTGCGTTTATTTTTTTGGACTGCTTTGTGATGCAGCTGTTGTAATAAAGATCCACATTTAATTATAATGGATTCAGCATATTGTTTCTATGTTTGCATATGACAGACAGTCGCTCCTCATCCAGACCATCATCAGCTCGCAGTCGTCGGTCATCTTTATCCACGGCCATCACCATGGGCACTGGCAGCACTAAGAGTGGCAGACTGGCAGAGCCCAAATCTCTACAGGTACCAACTGCATTGTAGGAATGTCAGTTTCTTTTGGACTTTGCTTGAAATCTCTCACAGAACTCTTAAGAAGAGATGTAAAGTTTGGGATAAGATTACGCAATCAAAATATCATTTACATTTTTTTTATTATTAAACAACTGCTATAAAGATCACAACAAATGTTTAGTGAATTTCTCAAACAATTACAGAGAACCAGACAATAACACACTGAAATTAAAGTGAAATTTTGAAGTAGAACGACTGAAATAGCTTTTTTTTTTTTTGTAAATGAAAGTTTTTATTATTTACAATTTAAAAAAACAAAATTTACAGTGTATTTTGAACTGCTGAATAAATGTTAAAATAAAAATAACCTTTTTATTAATAAAATTAATTAAAAACTTTAAAATTGTTCTTAAATATACAACCTCACATTTGAATAAATCAAGTATATTATTTTAAAATAAAATAAACGTTTTAAAATAAAATCTAATATTTTAAAACAAAATACAAAAAAATAAAAGCTGAGTAATAATGGAATGAGCAATTTAGGAATAAATTGTTACAAACACGTGATCTGTTTTACTGTATCATCAGCTTCAATTTTGCCTACAGTACAATCTAAACTTTGTGTAAACTCAAGCACCTTACGGGCAGCTATACATTTGCTGTGTTTTTATTGTATCGAAGCTTTTTGGTTGCAAATTTTACCTGGTCGATATGAGTGCAGCTCTGCTATTGATCTCCTTCCCTTTGTTTGCACTCTTTTTGACTTTAACCTCAGCTGGTTTGCTTTACCACGGAAAAATAATGACCAAGCTCGTCAAAGCAAAGAGATTGGAAAAAAACAGATGCTCTTGGGTGAAGAAAGTTCTATCGCCTCAGTTCCAGCCTGTTGTATTACCTGAGCCAGGAGCTTGATAATTGGGTGTAGGGATTGGAAAGGGTCAGGTTGTGTGTTTTTATGGTGGCTCGCGGTCTGTGCGCGAGACTTTAAATTACGGAGGTTTCTGGAAGGTGACAGGGCAGTGTATTAGTCCAGCCGAGTGACCCATCTCCTTGGGACACTACATCAGGGCCTTTTAAAGTAGACACATGCCTCGGGCGCTTTTCTTCATTTTGATTCGGGGTGGACAAACCACCCAAGTGTTATGATTTGATCCTTAACACGTTTCACAACCCAGCATAAATTCTGGGAGGAAATTGCTTTTGTTGAAGAAGTGTCATTTCAGAACCATGTTTTTAGCACTTGGAAAAGAAGCATAAACCAATTCTAAACATTAAAAGGCCTCTGTGGCACCTGAGGACAAGGTTTATTTCCAAAAACTACTCTCTGATGGGTCAGAAAGGAGGCTGTTTGACTCCGATTTTTTGATTACTTGATGATTTAGAGTATATTTGCTGTAACATTTTAGCTGGACCTAAACAACAGCAGTTAAAAGAGCAAAAAGACTTGCTTTAGACAAGGATTTATGGGTTTCCTCAGGCCCTTTTTCTTTTAATTACATTATTATTGCGTATAGTATGAATTTTGATGGTCTGCATTGAAATGTATCTTTCTGCACTATTGTAAAAAATCGTGGACTTTGTTTTGTTCCACTCAGGTCTTTGAATGCCTACGTTTTAGCAAAGATGTTACAATAGCGTCACCCTGTGGTTGTACCTTCAACTTCATCATCCCAGAACATTTCTTGTGAAATTATTATACTACAGTTGTTTAATGTTTGCTGTTTTTCTAATGATTTTTTTTTTTTTTACTGTGTTAACACTTATTCCACCAGGATTGGAATCATATTCTAATGAGAGGCTGTTTTTATCTGGAGGAAGATGGAACGATTGTTTCTCTCCAGTATCGCCTGCATATCCCAGAGACTACCGGTGTCTACCTGACAATACGGCCCCTCAATCTTAGCCCGATTCCTGGTAAATATATTGTACACAGTGTTAAAGACTAAAGTTAATGAAGGTACAGATTTTGAGTTATTCAAAATACCTACAGTAATAAATAAGCAGGTGTGTGTGTGTGTGTGTGTGTGTGTGTGTGTGTGTGTGTGTGTGTGTGTGTGTGTGTGTGTGTGTGTGTGTGTATGCCACAGAGAAGCCTTCCTCGTGGATGTGTGTGGACACAGCTCTCTATGGGGTGATGGGGAACAAGACTAAAGAAGATTCAACTTTGGTTTGCTTTACTGAATTAAGGGATAAGGAGGTCAGTAAATGCTTTACTTTCCTATCTACATATGATAGTGTTTGTTTTATCAAACTATAATATCTGCTTGTTTTTAAAGTATTTTGACATGTTTTCTTATCAGCTGTAATATAAGAATGTATTTCTATGACATGAGTGCCTTTTCAAGTTTGATATTGTGACTTTTAATAATTTAATATTTTAAACATTCTATATTATGAAACATTCTATTAGACAGATAATGTGTGTGTGTGTGTTATTACATTGTCCCATCTCAAGCTAAACTAATTAATATGAATGGATGTTCAGATATAATTATGCCTTCAGAAAAGAAAGGGTTGATTTTAATGCTGATATATTTTGTGCAAATATACACGTTTCAATGATCTGTCATTTAAAATCATGGTAACAATATTTATATTTTGATATTGTTCCTCTGAGAAACATAACAAAACAGAAAATTAAGTGATTTCAATTTGTAAATGCATGGTGATGGCATTATGAGTTAGGCCAAATATTACATTATCGGGGTTGATACATTACTTGGGTACACAAATTATAACTATAACTTTTTAATAATACATTATGTCAGCTGACATCGGAAAATAAACGCAACGCGAATAAACACAAAAGGCTATATTTTACTTTCATGTTATGTGAATATGTGTTAATACATTTATATTTAAATATTGTTAATACCTCCTCATGAAGAAAGAAAAAGAAAAAATATTATTACTAGCTTTTTGTTGATGTGTTTACAAAAAAATTCTATAAATGATCTATATTATATATATGAAGGACACAAATGTCATTTCATAGAATAACTCAAGTGATTTATGAAGGACCATTTTTTATCTAATTTACAAAGAAGTATATTAAAACATAAAAATATATAATAAAGTATATTCTTTATATACAGTACATGTATTAAATTAATTGAATCAAAATACTAAATGGAAAACTGCATCAATATAAAGATTAACATGAAATCCTGCCTCATTGGAATTGTAATTTACATTGTACAACAGTAAGTGATATGTATGTTCATGTTGTGTGTGATTGATGAACAGAAGTTTGTGTGGAGAGGAGAGCTCAATGCCGGCTCATATCTTCTCATGCCCTTCACCACTGGCTGCAGATTGATGAAAAGTACAAGGAAGACCACCACTAAACCTGCTCAGCTAGTCAACCGCACCCAGTCTGGAGAGCTGGAGCTCACCAAAGAGTTCAAGTTACTCAGTTCTAATATAGGGGGACCCAATAAAAGTCTATTAAGTTTATGTTTAATGCTATACTGTATGTTTGATTACTGAATTTAGGCTATTTTATGTACCGGTATCTATGAGAATAATGTACAGCATGTGTGCAAAGATGCTGTACTGTTTTGTTCCTCAGGGCGGCATTGTCTGACATCTTTGAAGTAATCGATTTGGACGGCAGCGGTCTGCTGAGCCTAGAGGAGTACAACTTCTTTGAACAGAGAACCAGTGGAGAGAAATGTGATGAGGATGCCTGGGCCATCTGCAAAGGTTTCTTATACAAACACTGTATATAAAGCGGACACATAATCGATCAGAGCTTTTAAAGTCACCATGAAATCAAAATTGACCATTCATGCCGTATTTATTATAAACGATTTATCCATGCACAATGCACATCAGCATTTTTTTTTAAATCATGTGCCTGTGTGATCTTTAATCAAACAACTCCCCCTTCCTCTTGCAACAACATCTCTTCCCTGCTGACATTTTTCAGCACAAGGGCGGGACAACCTGTCAATCACATGACATCACAGCAATAGCAATCCACAACGATCCAATCAATTCCTGATGGACAAAATCAAGTCCCGCCCTACATTTCTTCTTGTTTGAGAAGCTGTTTTACTCGAATATGTCACAATAGAGAAGAAAAGGCTATCACTAACTTCCGTTTCATGCTGATTGTAATGCTCTCAAAATCAGATGATGCAATTGAATCATTATTGCCTAGTACATTTTCTTGGCTCCTCTGATAAATTATTGATTGAGTCTTCAGAAATGTAATTTATTTTAAAATGACGCTTCCAGATCTTGAAGTACTGTCCAATCCAATCCAATCATATGCATTATTTCTATAACAGTATGTGCTCTCCTGTAGAGAACTTTGACACAAGGAAAAATGAGTTAACTAGACAAGGCTTCCTAAAGCTCAACCTGATGGAAGCGAATGATCGGGAGGGTGACCCCAGGGATTTGTGGCTCACCTTGGAGGCCATGGGCTACAACCAAAGCTTGGAAATGGTGGAGGTACATAGGTCTATGAGCTTTACTCACGAGCAGTGTTGGGGAAAGTTACTTTTAAAAGTAATGTGTTACAATTTTGCATTAGTCCCTAAAAAAGTAACTAATTGTGTTACTTGGTTACTTTTAATGGAAAGTAATGCGTAGTATGTTTAATCTTTTGCGTAACCTGGGCTGGGCTTGCTTGTCCAAAAAAGTCCAAAAGTGAAATAAATAAGTATGCATTTCACTGTTTTTATTGATTTTGAGGAATACTGAATCTGTTTTTGTGCCGGTGAGATGAGTAAATGCCTGCTCACATTTAGTCCATGATGTTTACACAGCGCACACAACTCTGCATTACTCCCGATTTCTCTCAACATGGGGACAGGAGAGGTGTCAGTCAATAAACGGCAAAACAAAGTAACTTGTAGTGTTATGTATTTGAAAAGTAACTCAGATATTTTGTTGGAAATTTAAAAGTAATGCGTTACTTTACCAGTTACCTGAAAAAAAGTAATCTGATTACGTAACTCGCGTTACCCCAACATTGCCCATGAGAGAGTCTTGTAATTTCAAATAGTAAAACCTGCAAGGGTTTAGAGAACATGTCCTTTATTTCTAAAATAAAACACTTTTTGTGTAATTTACTTATAGCCACCTTACATTTTGAAGTTTTTCTTTATCCCATCAGGCCTGTCCATTTGTCATTGAAGTCTACTGTGAGGATGTCAAGGCTACTCTTCAGGCAGTTCATTTGGATTCTGGGATCAAGATGTTGAATTCTTCTGTACAGAGGTCTATCACATCAAAAGCAGAGGCTAGATCTCTGAAGGGTCAAGAGAATGTCTTGGTTTATACATACAAAGGAGAGAGCAGAATTTCATCAGTCATTGCCAATAAGGTTGGTTGGTTATTGTTTTATGTCACTTAGCTGTTTTTTTTTTTTTTTTACCCAAATAAGTCTTTGTATTATTGAAAATGACACATGACATCCATCTCTCATTTAAAAAAGCCCTTTAAAAATGTCTTTGTAGGCCTCACATTTGTATGTCTTGTACTTAACATTCACTGAGAATAGCACAAAGTAACTAAACCTCCAGTTGTTTGGAATGCTTTATAGAAAGGAACACTGGCCATGAGTAGAATTTCAATGTCCTGATCTGCCATTATATAGACAAAGTCAGCTGAAAGACACGTTTAACAGAGAGAAGGGAATTAGATCTGCAAAGAAAAATTGAGATTTTGCCATAGTTAGTGGAACTAACTATCTGAAATATACAGTATTATTATTAAGAACGTAATGTGTCTGTAAGATTTTGTAAGAAGTCTCTTATGCTCACCAAGACTGCATTTATTCAACTAAAAAATAAAAGCAGTACTTTTGTAAAATAATATTACAATTATTTAATGTACTTAAAATGTAATTTATTTATCTGATGCAAAGCTGAATTCTCGAATTTCAGCAGCCATTGCTCCAGTCTTTAGTGTCACATGATCAATTTAACGCAACCTTGCTGAATAAAAATTCTAATTTCTTTCAAACACTAAATATTTACTGACCATTGAACGGTACTCTATATAATTCACTGTTGTTCATTAATGATTATAAAATGATTACAGCTGTAATTTCTTTTCATCGATTTTCCCTGTTGTATTCTGGGTATCCATCACTCTTGCTGCTATAGTCCAATCAGAAGGTTACGGTGCACATCAACAATGAACAAAGCAAGAACTGTGTGAGCAGCAGAGGCATGAGTATGTTTGCTGTGGAGGTTCCTGCTAGGACTAAAATGGTGAGATACACCATTTTAACTCACAAACATAGGCCAGTTTCTTTTGTAGGGTCAGGGTGGGGTGCATTCCCCATAGAACTAATAATTATAGTTACATTTGACAGACACTCAGATGTACAATTTTGCAGAATATTTAACACTTGTGCTCTGTTTTGGTCTCTGTTCAGGTGTGTCAGCACGTCATGGCTTCAAATGATCAACAGGAGTGGACTTACAACTGCGTTGAGAGCATCATACCAAGTTTGTGAATGCTGCAGTAACGTTGGGAATTTATTATGATATAACAAATCATGTAGTGCTTGTAAAATAAATAACATCATTTTGTTTGCTTGTTACAATGACCATTACATACAAGTTTTACTATAGTTTCAAAAGTTATTATTATTCTTAACCATTAATTATGTAGTCGATGAGTTACATTCATGATGTTCATGTTTTTTTTGTAAATAAAGCAAATTTATTTTCAGTAAATATTTTTTATTTGTTTGTTTCTGTATTTATAATTTATTTATTGAAATCATAACAAATAATAATCAAGTTCATATATTATTTCGTGTGGATAGTTTGTTCGGATGGATTGATTTATGAAATGTATTTAATTATATTATTCTATTATTTTTATTATTATTATTTATTTAATTTTGTTTTGTGTTGTTGCACATTTACCCCAGGCCTCACTATGGAATGTAACATACCTCACCAATCACATTACATGTTATATCAGTTTGTGTTTCTTAAACAAAATGTGGCAATTTAACATAAAGCATTAAAGCAATATAAATACACTAATTCAGTTTTTAAGCATTATCCTGGCATTGAGCCAGTGACCATAGTCCAGTTTTAGCAGTCAAACATACAATCCAAATTCCAGAGTGTTGGTGTTACACACACAGACCTACATTTTATTCACCCTTGACCTTTAGCACCACGTGTAGATTTAAGCTTCTATTTATAACTTTCGGTCAATTATTTTGGCCTTTGACTTTCACTACTGTAACTGTAGAACAAGACACTAAAGGTCACATGACATGTGAGGAGTGTTTAAAATGCACCCCTTTTCTCTCCATCATCACCAATTAAGTACACTTCTCTTCAAACTGTGTATTCAGGGTGTGTAGGCTATATGTTATTTAGTATTGTTAGAGCTCATAGGTTTTTGTTTAAAAATATTGTATTCAAAAAGTGACAGCCACATCTGTTTCTGTGCATCCAAGACACTGTTCCATCTTGGCTTTTGACCGTTTTTTTTTTTTTTTTTTTTTTTTTTTTAAGAAACCTGCAATATCATGATATCTTGCAAACCTTGCATAATTGTAAACTTTGTTCTGCTTTGAATGAATTCTGGGTGAAACTTGATGCAATAGACAAACAAAACTCTGACCTAGAGCTCTAGTTTTCTCAACATGCATAGGGCCCCTGCATTTTCTCTCAATATTTAGTCCTAATAGACCAATTGTGCCTTCATTGCATAAACAAATGTGTCTGATGAATCACCTGACCTTTTCATATGATACAAGATTAATTTAGTTTAATTTAAGAATAAGATAATTTTTTTTATAATTGTATAATTAACTTGCTGTACATACTACAATTATAGACATTATAAATGGCCGAACTGTCTCTTTAAATGTGGGCGTATCCTTTAATCGGTGAAAGGCTGTATGAGAGAGGCTACGTGGTGAACACGCATCCCGCTGGGCACCCGGATAGTGAGTGAGTGACAGACACTGACCGCTGCTGCAACATGGTGAAAATTACGGTTATTAAGACCAAACCGTACCCCGACCAAAAACCCGGAACCAGCGGTTTAAGAAAGAGGGTGACTGTATTCCAGCAGAATCAGCATTATGCGGAGAATTTTATCCAGAGTATCATTTCCACCGTTGACCCTTCTCAGAGGCAGGAGGGCACCCTGGTAGTGGGAGGGGATGGACGATTCTTCATGAAAGAAGCTATTCAGCTGATCGTCCAGATTGCTGCAGCTAATGGGGTTAGTATTGGCCGAATTTGATTTGCAATTTTAATGTAAAAGAAACGTGTAACAAAAGCCACTTCCTTACATAGGAAGTCAAAATGACTTTGTCTAGGCATGACACAAGAACATTGCAAAAGAGACCACTTAACTTAGTTCAGTTGCAATTGTGCACTGCTACGCATGCTTTGAAAACTAGTTTACTGCATGGAATAAACGGTAAACTCAAATTTCTGGCATTTTATTTATTCATACTTCATCATAGTGTTTCCAAGTAACATTGCATGCACATTTATAACGGTTACATATTATTTGAGGGAAATAACGCTAATCTTAATTATCCACCCTGTGAATGTGACGTAAAATTCGTTCTAAAAGAACGATTCGTTCATATGACTCGGATATTTTCAATGTATCGGTACCGTAGAACCGGTTCACAAAGTCTTTCTGAACCATTCATTGACAAATCGAACTGGACTGCATTTCTAAAGCATCGTAGATCGTAAAACCAATGCACCAATGGTCTTGAGCTTTTGAGAAATTTGTAAACGAATCGAACTAAATCTTATGCCAGGGGGACTACTGGAGTACGTAACTGCGTCTGACGTAAAATATGCGCTGAATCTTTTTTCCGTTTCTTTGAAACGAGCTGTTCAAAAGAACCGATTCGGACCTAATACGAACGAACTCGATGCTCTCTCAAGCTGAGGCTGTTTTGGGACACCTTTGACATTTCACGCTCTGCCAAAAGCAGAGCCGCTGCGTGGTGACTTCAACATATCCCCTCTCATCATGTTGCAGAGCTTAGAAAGTAAAACGTGCAGCAGTGTTTTGTAAGGGTGTGAGGATTTCTTTAACATCAGGAGTCTTGCAGCAACAACCATGATGTGGAGGAGATGTGCCTGCAGTCACGTCCCGAGCAGTGGTGCTGTATTGAGTAAAATCTGTTCTGTATTACAGAACACACTTGCATCTCTTTTTTTAAGTAGTAGATAGCACTAAGTAGTAGTAGCACTAGCCACGTTCTATTGATTGCTATGCACTAGTGTTGTGTTGTGTAACCGTCCATGCTATAAATCACAAGGACACATCAATAGTGTTGTTTTGATGTAAACATTGTACTGGATGGCAAAGTCAAAGTGGTCCTCTCTTATGGTTCAGGGTTCATGAAGTGCATTTCTAAGCATAATCTTGAACAGGAGTTTATCGGTCACTTCTCTCGTTCATGATCCCACAGATTGGCAAACTGGTCATTGGTCAGGATGGGATTATGTCAACACCTGCTGTTTCCTGTGTGATTCGTAAAATCAAAGCCATTGGTGGGATCATCCTGACAGCCAGTCACAACCCAGGCGGCCCCAATGGAGACTTCGGCATCAAGTTCAACATATCTAGCGGAGGTTAGACATATTTTTATGGCCAATGCCGATACCTTAGAGAACAGGGTGGTGACCGATGGCCGATATACAGTAAAGGTGTATCACAATATGATATTACACTATTTAATTTAAAGATATTAAAACACATCCATAACAATTGCTGAAATTAAATTTATATTCATTTTACATAATATTTACTAAATTATAAATCATTTGAAAATGAAAAAATAAATAATAATTTGAACTTGATACAAAAAAGAAATCCGTAAAATGAACAGATTTATACTTTAGATAGCAACTACTTTCTATCTTGAACTCCAAAACAAATTTAGAAACGTTTAACCCTTAAATGCATGAATGTTTTGCCAATCTATCATCTTTAGCAACCCGAATCTATAACTAACACAGACGATCTTTACCTGTCGCGATAATATAAAACTCTCTTTATATTAGAGTAACAATTAAAGAAGGATAAAATAAAACTTATTTAGTTACTTTTGTTGAGCTTGGAAGGGCTCAGTTTGAGCAGATGTTTTATACCATCATCACTGTCCTCGTCAGAGCTCATTTCCCAGTACATTCAGCATCTGACTCATATTTGCCATCTCAAACATATTCTTAAAACTATCATTTTCAACATCTTCAAAATCAATATTTTGATTCTTGAGAGCTTCTTCACCAGATCCACTATCAGTGACTGACACTAATATTTGATTGCGTTCAGTACTTGCTCTGCAGTAAATCGCTGAGCCATTTCAAGTTTTGCTGATGATACTTCCTATTCTTTTGTTTTCTGCCTGCTGTAACTATGAGTGAAACGTCACTTCATCATTGACTACGTTTACATGCAGCCAATAACCCGTTCAAAACCGGGATATTAGCAATAACCCGGTCGCGAACGGCCATGTAAACACCGGCAAAAACCCGAATATGCTCATATCCCGGATTTTAAAAACCGGGATATTATACCTGGGGTACCCCTTTTCTAACCCGAATTTTTGGTCATGTAAACGCGCATCGGCATATCCCCATAGTGATGTGTGTTCTGCGCATGTTCTATTCGCAAGGAATCTTGCGTAAAAGGAATTTGGAGCGAGGTCAGTAACGTTACCAGCACCAAAGCGCAAACAAAGGCGATCGCTATCTGCCCCGAACTATTCATTATCCGCGTGCTGCTGTTGTTGTTGTCTTTGGATACAGGAAGAAGAATCGGAAATGACGCATATTGCGTCTTAAGGTTGTCCGTACGTCCACACGCTAACCGCGCGTCGCGTTTACATCGGGATATTGCAATTCCATGTATACAGGAGTAACTCTCTCTGCTCACGCATGTAAACGGGTTATCCCTAATGTTTCAGAAACCCGAATAGTGACCTTAACCCGACCATAACCCGAAATTTGGCTGCATGTAAACGTAGTCATTGTGTATCAGACATTGCCACCTTGTAGAATAAAGTTTAATTGCACTTATTCAGTCATCAAAGATTCAATTATTGTTGTGCAGAAAAAAATATATACTTACACTGTTACACACCTCGGGTCGTTAGCGACCCTTTACAGTTTTTACAAAAATGAATTGGAAAACAGGCCTTTTATAAAATAAATGTTATTTCATTGTTTATAATGAATTGATTGAGGAATACTTAGAAGGTTGATGTCTAACTTTAAAAAATGAATGAGGAGGAGGGTAGTGAATGACATCCCGCATCACTAAAGACCTGAGGTATGCGTTTAAAATAGCATAATAGGGGCACTTTAAAAAATGCCAAATTATATACAAATATATATCGGGCTTGGTGACACATTAGTCAACCACAATTAAAGACTGCATTAAATCACTTAAGCTTGCATTCAATTGGTCTGGTTTTTCTTTCCCAGGTCCTGCGCCAGAGGGCGTCACAGACAAAATCTTTCAGATCAGCAAGACCCTCCAGGAATATCACATCTGCC